ATTAGTTCCAGGCCTTTTATTCTGCAACTCAATGTTTAGGAATATAGAAAAACTACAATTACCAAAACAGTTGGCCATTTAAAGGTTCAATTGTTAGGTAGTTTATGTAGTGGGAGACATTTTGGGAGTGACTGTTAAGTCAATATGTAGATGCGATGGTCTAGTCTGTTTTTTTACTGAGCAGATACACGGTACCTGTTTTTTAAAAAGCAGTAGCTTATGCATTGTAAGTTTACCAAGTAGTATAAAGTTATATGTCTTTATTTCCCCAAATTAGCATCTCTCCATTTGGTCAAGAAAATGAAGGGAAATACCATAGCTGCTTTGCCTAGTTACACATTGCTTCCAAAGAGCATCGTCTGGCTCCAGCAGAAATCTCCCGGTCTGAAGATGCCTCGCATGTGGAGTGCAGAATGCCCCACGATCTTGGTCTTTGAATTTCAGAATGATAATGTTTTTGCAAAAACTCTTTGGTCACTGCCCATGGATTTTAAAAGTGTCTTGCTGGAAATGGATAAAGAAAAAGGTGGGGAGTGTGAAGCAAGTTGTCTCTACTGTAGGACTTGTCCCCCTCATACAAACATGATAGGACCTGAAGCTGCATTTGCTGGAGCGAGACCATGGGACATTTGCCTAATAGGAGGGGCTTTAGATCTCTGTATCACAAACCATCAGCTAATTTTTGGCTATCCAAATGTGGCTGCTTATTGTAGCTCCAATGAAAGGGCATGGGAGTGGAGGATCTTGCTAATTATACTGAGCCTGCCTGCATTGCAAGTGTCAGATGATTTGATAGGAGTGACATGCAGCTAAATGGAATAGGAAAAGACACTGCAGTGGACTGTTGGTCCATTAGTTTGCTCAGGCAGCTTGTTTTACTAAGGAGCCCTCTAATGGTTTCTGGGCAATAATTACTCTCTCTCCATGCTATTCAACATGACAGGCATTTGCTGAAGTCGCAGCTAATATATTTGCACTCTAACTGGCCCCAATGACGAGTTTCCTTGAGTATGTTTGGCTGGGAAATGAAGGATGGTCATGTTTTTTTTCTTTGAGAAAATTTCTCTAATGCAGAAGACAGTCATTTTATTTTGCATACTAAGCAGGTGTGTGGCATAACATGAGTTCTGGTGAAAAAAATTGATGCATTAGCTATAGACTGACTGCCCATGCTGTCTCCTGTTTTAGGGGTTGATGGTATTGAAATTAAACACAAAACTTTCATGGGCTGTTGTACTTTTGTAGTGATAAGTGTAGACTGAAGCCAAATTAGAGGGAGAATGTATGGAAGTGAACCATACTTCAACTATCTTAAAGTTATACAGTAGAGGATTATTCCTTTGTTTTAACAAACTTATATTTTGGAGGTAGTATTAATTCTTTTTTTGTGTGTTTCTGTTTCAACTTAAAGTGGTTGTCTTAAGATAAAATACATATTAGCTTCCCCCCCATTGTTTTCTCATTCATTTCGTTGTGAAGTATGGTCAGTTTTGCTTATCACCTTATTTACCTTTCAAAAGTCACTTGAAACTTCCTAGGTTAGTAGTTAAGGTTTAATGAGTGACTTGAATTCTTCTGAAGTTCTCCAATAAAGTTTGTTTGTTAACATTCTGCATGTAAACGTAATGAATATCTCGATTATCAATACTGTGATCTTTGTTTTTGCTAAAAATTTTGGAGGATTTGAAGGTCATTAAAAAGCCTTACGTGAGAAAATAAAGGGGAAAGAGAAAAATAAGAGAGAAGTACAGCAAATTATATAGAGCAGCGATTTTTAGTCTTTTTCATCTCATGGCACACATAAACTAATTACTAAAATTCTGCAGCATGCCAAAAAAACACAACATTTTTTGCCGATGTGACAAAAAGTAGATATAGTTTTGATTCATTCACACAGGACCGCTATTGTTGTGTTGGCTGCAATCATTTTTTAATTTCACAATATAAGGGAAAAGAGGTCAGTGCCCCTGACTAAATAGTCAGGTATTGCATGTTTTAGAAATTCTTGCTGCACACCAGTTGAAAATTGCTGCTGTACAAGATATGTCTAGGCTTCTGAAGTCATTTTTACATTTGTATATATTTGTGGGAAGATAATTACAATCAGTTTTTTGGTTTTCTTTCATCCAGTCAGGTCTCAGGCCTTTATTATATTGAATATAACCACTTTTTTGGGGGGAGGATGAGAAAACATTAGCAGCAACTTGATTTTGGACAATTATTTTTTCCTTCTGCTTCTAAAACATAATGTAGCTGCCTGATAGAAAAGCCTCTTACTTTTTTGTATATCAGAAAGAAGAGAAAGAAAGCTATCTTAGAAACATATTTAAAGCACATGATGAAAATGAAAGGTTTATAAAAAACCTTTTAGAATCTATTTTCTTTGTGCCAGGTACCAGATGTTGATGTTGGCAGTGCTTAAGAGGGTCACAGGGCATTTAAAATCACTAGGCTGTGGGGAATGAAATTCCATGTCTGTTGCACTGAAGATTATTTAAAACTTGTGTTTACCTAGCAGTAACTAGTACAAAAGTACTTTTCCTATGTGAGCCCCTCTTAAATAGGTACCCTAGAAATACATGATTAATGAAATTGCTGCAAAATATATTTTTGTTACAGGGACTCTCTTAAGCATTATCAAAGTCACTGGTTCAATTTAAGACCTTATTTTTCAATGTGGAAAGCAGATAGCTTTCAACCTTGTTAGACGTGATTGGCCTTATGATTGAGCCATCCATTTCAAAGCAGAAGATGGAGGTTTTGCTGCTTAGTTATTATACACGTGCAGAAAAGGCACATATACCATATTCAAATATTTCCTGTGAATCCTCTGGAAGTGTAAGTTTAAAAAAAAACAAACAGGACCCGTTGGTCCCCTCTACGTAGTTTCTTTGAGTGAGCCGAAGTTCCTTTTCTCACTGATAGGATTTCAGGGGAGGAATAAGTTTTCCTTGACCCTCTTGGGATCCCTGTCTGGGTCTGGAAATTAAACTGATAAAGACAGATTAACAAGAGAAAAGCATACAAATTTATTTGACATATGTTTTACCTGACATAGGAGCATTCATAAGGAAATGAAGACCCAAAGAAACAGTTAGACCTGGTTATTTTATGCTAGGTTTGATGAAGGGCACACAGTTGTGGAGAAGGGTGCACATAGGCATATGATAGGTGCAGGGGTATGAGGTAATTGTAGTGAACTGGGGGAAGAGTCACTTCCGTGTGCTAGGATTCTTTTCTGTATCCCTTTGTCTTCAGAGATGAGGTATAAGGAGGTACACCTTTCCACTGGGCATAGGGAGGGCCCCTGGAATACGAAGGTCTCATGGCCTGTTTCAGGGAGGACCGGCTGGGGGAAAGTCCAGGAGACCTTCCTGCTTCTGCCGTTTTCTCCTTCACGTTGAGATACTCAGTGTGCCAGGGGGCTTCATTTTGATGTCCTGGAGGGTTAGTGGTTTCCATGAAAAAATGGGACTTTAGAAGAGTTCTGAAAAACAAAACTGATTTTCATGTTCTCTCGAGAGTACCACTGGGTGCTCATTATAGATTATTGTTTCTTCTGGCACTGCGAGTCAGACAGTGATCTTACTGAGCGTTTCCAAAGGTTTTAAAAGGATTTTTGTTGTAGTTATCTTTAAGATTTTACTCAAGAAAATTTATTTGTAAATACAATGGGATTAAATTTTTATAGGCTACATTTCCCTTCTTGTCCATCTGAAGGAATTAGTTTCTTTTTCTTTTCTTTATAAAAGGAAATGTTTCAAATAGTCTTGCTATCAGGGAACAATATTGGAAGGAGATAAGCCCATGTATCATCAGGTGTTACCTCTGGATACTGAGATTATGGCTAATTTCTGTCTTTTTGTGCTTTTCTACACTTTTAAGATTTTCAACAGCTAGAGTATATCACTCGTACAGTCAGATGAAGGAAATACATATGTGTATTTAATTTAGGCTGATACACCTAAGGAGTCAAACATTGCCTATTATAATAGCAGATCCTGGAACCTTGGTTCTGGACAATAAAAAAAAACAAAGCCACATTGACGTTTGTATATAGCTCTCAGAGCCGCCTGCCATTTGGATTGGTGGTACAGTGGCAGCCCACCTTCTTGTTGGGTTTGCTGGTTGACCAATGGAAGCAATTGTATTTAGAACCTAAGTGGCAGAAAAGGCTCACTGTTGTTGCTTTTAATGCCACATGGTTCTTTACCTTTTTCCTCCCATGTATATGTCCTGTGGCTATATCTTTATTATAGGGGTAGTGGTCATTTAGTGTATTTGTGCAATGGAAATGGATTTATAGGGTGATGTGGAGAATGGTGGGTGTAATTATGAAATTTCCTGTATCATATCTGTGTAGTTTAGTGGAAAATGCAAAATGAATACTTCCTGCTAGGCAGATACATTTAGGATTCCCTCATAATTAATAAAGCCCGTGTTACAGTTTTTAATGTTACTTCCAGTTGGAGGAATTTCTTTAAACCATAGCATTTTATAGTTACTTGGAAAAGTTGCATAGAAGACTAGTGTTTGGACTCAAAAGACTGTTTTGTTACTTTTTAAGTGTGATCTTAGGGCTAGTATTTTTAACCTCTGAATTTGTTAACCTCATCTGTAAAATGGGGATACTAATAATGCCCTCACTTAGGGTCCTTGTGGGGATAGAGGAAAGTGTTTTGTAAGTCTGTATATGTTTCATTTATTGAGTAAAGTACTCTTGGCAAACTAACTAAACTTAAATGGAGGTGATTTGGATCAACCCCCTAACTTTAGAGCCTAGGGCTAAATTGCATTTGTCCATTCAGCTTGGAAGAGGGGAGGTCAAAGATGTATGGTTTTAATGTTATTTTTCTGAGAGGCTGTGCCTACTCTAACCTCCATTGCTTTTCTTTAAAAACTTGGAAATAGTTATTCATTTTCTTTTCCTAATTACTTGGCAGAAATTTAGAATTCAAAGAGAGAAACTAGTAACAACCATTTTTTTTTCACACTTCCAGATCAACAAAAGGAATTCTTGGGTCCTAGAGACCAAAGAAAGAATCAGCAGGAGTGCCCAGGGTGAATTGATGGATTGGAGAGCCTGGCTGGTAATTACTTTCACTGAGCTAAAACATTAACTTAATGCACAGGAGCAGGGTGAGATAAACTCTGGATTTGTGCCTCTTCCTCCCCTCCTCCATGGAGATCCAATGCTTTCCTTCTGGAGACAGCCTTCTCTTCACTGGGATAGCCTCCTTCCTTTCCTTGGCATGGATGTTCATACCCTGGGGTGGCAGACTAGTTTGTACCTTTCATTTTGGTTGTCCTGGGCAGCTATCGGTGGGGCTATATGACTAAATCATCTAGCTTTCAGCGTAGCAAGGAACCCCCGTTTTTAAAGGGTTCTAGGCTAAATACCAGGTATTTACAGATTTAACACATCTTAGGGTTCAAATTTCTAGAATTGGCAAGCTTCAGCTTTTGTGATACTTACCTAGTGTACACCTTGGGAGGCCAAGAGGTTTCTTCTTAAAATCAACATGTTGGTTGTTAATAACTTTCTAGCATGCCATGCTGTGATAGTTCGTGAAGCCATAATGTCATTTAGTGACATGATCATTTAATGATGTGTTTGCTAGGGGTTGGGAGGGGCATATACATATTTTCAGGTAATTGTCAAACCATAGAGCTGAGAGCTCATTTAACCTACAGTGCTCTCAGCCCCAGTCCTTTTATTATAAGTGAAGGAATTGGTTGTTTAGAGAGATAAAAGTAGTTTCTGCTCACTAGAACCAAAAAGGGACTTGAACTCAAGTTTTCTGGGTTCAAGTTGCTCGTTACTTTATGGGGATACAAATGGTAGCTACCTTCTGAGATTTAGGGAGAATAAAACTTAAAAAATCTATGTTCAGGGTTAGGCACAGAGACAGACATGGAAAAAGACATAATAAAGGAAAGCCACCATCACTGTCATTATCATTTTTACTTTTTATCGTTGCTGTCATTACTACCACCATCATGTTTTATAAGATAGTCAGACAGTTCTTTGGTATGTACCATGTTGTAGAAGCCTACCTTTTGCTAACAAATTGAAGCAAATACTCAACTTTTCATGACTCTACTTAAAATTCCAAATTTTTTTATACTTTTGACTTTATAGGAGAGACCCACAAAAGACAAGCTACAAGATCATTGAATTTGCAGTTTTAGTTTTAAATTTTGTACATTTTGGGTATTTGTGTTGATTTTATTTCTACTAAGATTCATTGAATGTGATTCTGCTGAAGTACATCCTCTTGAAACAGCAGGAATTCTGTGTAATAATGTTCATTGTTCAGCAATATCCTGAACTTCCTTGTTTCTTTAGACATCTGTGTGGGATATATAATATTTTAAGTATTTAAGTTTCCTAATCTTGTCAACAGAGGGCTCTAAGTTGGAAGACTTTAGTTATGAAATCTATTCTGATGTAATTATTCAAAAGGTCTCTGACTTTAAAGAATTTTTGATGACATAGGAATATACTCACAATATATTAATTGAAGTGGACACAAAGCTATAAATAGTATGGCTCCAACTCTGTGGCATGTAAAAAGGTGTGTGTGTGTGTATGAAAAGGTGTGCATGTGTATATAAGTAGAATATGAAATACTCCATTTATAGAGTATTTGGTATAGAAGGAAATATACCAAATGAGTAATAATAGTGTTACCTGTTCTCTGGGTAGATTAATAACATTTTTTACATTTTTGCACACATATATATTATAACTCTCTTTCAATTATCTGTAACTCACTTCTCATACTTTATATAGATTATTTAAGAAGAAAGATATCATCACTTGTGCCTTGATAAGGTAGTTACGGGTTAATGCCATTTTGTGTCAGACCAGGTCCAGCTTTGTTTGATGTGTGCTTGCTATCTCATAAGCTCTGTAGAAAGAGCGCAAGCTTTGGAGTCAGACTGGCTTGGGTTTCCACCTCATTGTCTTCATTAAAGAGCTGATATTGGTAAAGTTGCTTCTCTTAATCTTAATTCTCATTACATTGATATGCCATCTTTTTTGCAAGGATTCCTCTCTGGTTTTAGTAATTGAGGTAACATTGACAGCATTAGACAAGTTTCATGTGCACAACATTATAATTTTGATACCTGTATGCATTATAGCATGCTCACTGCCACAAGTCTGATATCCATCCATCGCCATGTAATTGACCCCCTTTACCCATTTTGTTCTTGCCCCTCACTTACTCTCTTGTAACCAATAATCTATTGTCTGTATCTGTGATTTTGTTTCTGTTTTGTTTTATTCATTTGTTTCTCTTTTTTTATAGTCCACATCTGAGTGAAATCATAGAATTTAAAACTTTTCCATTTGACTTATTTCACTTAGAATGACACCCTCAAGATCCATCCATGTTGTTGCAAATGGCAATATTTTATGTTTTTATGGCTGAATAGTATTCTATTGTCCATAGTTTCTTTATCTGTACAACTGTTGATGGACACTTAGGCTGTTTTTATATCTTGGCTGTTGTAAATAATCTTCCTTTGTAAAGTTTCCTGATCCTTAAAGTGGCTTGCTCTTGGAGGTGCTCAGTAAATATTAGCTCCTTTTCTTCTCCTAATCTCCACTCTTACTTCCAAAACCCCTTCACCAAATTCTGCAAGGATCAATTCAGGGAATAAAGGAGCTTGGTGGAAAGTTTTACTGTCATGCTGACATTTCCAGTGGTTTGTCTTTTTAATCATCTCTTTTACTATGAAAATCTTGGTTCCTCTAAGTCTCACATCCTTGGGAACCAAACTCTTGGCACTCATGAAATGTCTTACCTCAAAGGATGAGAAAACCGAGCAAACCAAAATCATGATGAGCTCTCTGGAGCAGAGTGTGAGAGCATGCCTCTCCCTTAGGATTGGCTTGGGAATGCGCAGTAACAGCATCACCAGTCACCTCTCACTGGCAGTGATGTGGAGGGTGTGGGGAGAGGACTCTGGGGCTGAGGTAGGATTTATAATTGCATGGCCGTCTGGCCTTCTCCGAACATTCTTTTCCCTTGCAGGATTCCTGTAATTGTCATCAGATGGCTCAGACTCCCAAATGTTTCCGGTATTTCAGTGACTTCTGGAGTGTGTTTAAAAAAAAAGGTCATATTTGGCAATCATCGCTTGTTTGTGTCTGCTCTGTTGTGTATAGATGCATGCAGATGAGGTATCTCAAGTACAGAGAAACCAGTCAGATCCTTACCATCTTCTCTTGAGTCTTCCCACTTCCTTGACTGATCCTTTTCTACCTGCACTGCTTTAAAGGAAAAAAACAGGTGAGGAAAGATATAGGCAGTAGTTCTGTTTTCAACTACAGTCAGCTGTTCTTTTAGTCTCATTAGTCCTGGGGGCTTAGAGCATTGTATCTTTTTTGGAGTCTGCTAAAGGCCTCATGGAGGTTGAGAGTCGGACAGTGAGTGAACCCTGTGAAGAATGATTCAAAGTCTTGGGCTATCCACTGGAGGAAACAGGCATTTGAGACAGTCCCTGAGTTTCAGCTGAAGAAATCTGAATGACAGAAACGATAGCATTAATTCACAAAGCAGGTGTTTTGTGGAAAAGAACAACCCAGAAGCACATAGGTGGAAAAGAAGTGTGTCTGGGAGGGGCATGTGAGGCAGTTTAGCTTAAAAATGAGAAAAACTTCACATATGTGCATTCATGTTTTACATAGGGGTCAGCCTAATGATTCCAGTTTTAGGATGAATGCTGTTTATAAAGTTGAGATATAATGGAATGGCCCTTGCGTTCAAAGATGGTTGCATTTTGAATTTTCCTTCATCATGTGCCTATAACTGAATACAGGACAATATCTTGCATGTTTTTTTTTATCAGATAAGCTCCTGTAATTTGACATTCATTGCTTTTCAAGGAAGAGAAAAATTGCCTAAATGAAAAAAGAGCTAATTTTAAAAACTCACCCAAATGGAGTGGTTGATACATCTAAACTTAAAGATGTTTTCCCACCCCCTCATTCCATCTAAGCAGAGACTTAGTAGAGAGGTGAGGTTGAATGGAATTGGTCAGGTAGATCATATTGGGAAGCATAAAATTGAAGAGAACTGACACAGTTTCTTCTGATTCATGATGGTGTCCGAGAAATTGTGCTTTTTAAAAGCTACTTTGCTTTACTGGCTCTTACTCTTCTAACCAGTAAAATAGTGCATTGCGTTCTAGTGCCCCTGCTTGTGTCATGGTAAAGTGTTCACTGAACTTACAGGGACCCGGCTCTAGACAGTGATGTTAACTGTTGACTTCTTTATTTTAAACTGCCCTTTTTTAGTCAGATTATTTTTTTAAACGATTGAGGTAAATACTGATGTCTACCCTGACAGTTATCTTGCCTATCTCGTCTCAAGTGGCGAGCATTGGGAGACAGGAACAGGAAAACCCTTGATCTTAGCAAGAATAAGAAATATCTCAAGATTAATATTTTAAAAACTCATCATGACAGTGTCATTTCCCTTGGTAGTGATTGGTTTAAGTGTGGACATGTGGCTGAGGGTTGGCCAGTAATTAGTAGGAGGAAGTCTTCTAGGAGAAAGTAGTGAAAGTTTCCCATCTGGAATGAAAAACAAACTTCTGCTTGAATTTTGGCTGTGATTTGTGGTGAGGCAGTTAGCAAGCATGAGGATGAACACTACAGTAAGAAAGGCAGGGGCCTTGTCCTTGACACCAAGCACCAGGATGATACCTTAGACCACTTGTTCTGTGAGAGAACTCATAATTATTTAAGCCCTTAAAAGCTGGATTTTTCTCTTACCTGAAGCAAATCTAATTGCTATCTGATAAAATGTCTCTATGTTTTGATCATGCCTTTCTCATTCCCTTCAGATTTGTAAAATATTTCTTAATCTATAACTGTGAGTATCATTTCCATTATTTTATGTTTCCAGAGCTGAGAGACATGTACTCCTTTTTGCTGGGATTGAAAAATAGAACTGACCCTCCCCCCCCCCCCCCCAAAGTTTATTCCTGCCAGGAAAGTCATCTTGTTGACCATCTCTTTCTCAGCGTTGGACGTCCCTTGGTAAAAGGTTCGATGGTAGAAAGAGATGCTTGA